AGCCCGCGACCCGAACAGGCCCCAATGAGTTATCGAAGCTGGACGAGAGTATTTTGTCGAGGGTTGTTTGCCTTTTCATTTGCTCTTTCCCAGTGCTGCAAGCGATTTGAATGTCTTTTATTGCAATCGGTAGTCTCGAACGTGCGCAATCTATGAGTATCGACTGTTGCAACGGGTTGGCCTGCGGTGAAGATGAGAGAGAAGCTCGGAGATGAAAACACAATGCGGTACGTCGTACGTATCCTTTCGGTGCCTCTATCTGTGATACTCATAACCCTCTGGGACCTAGCAACTGGGAAGGAAGACTGTGGATCACAATAATGACAATCCTCCTAACATCATTGCAACGCTTCTCGGACAATCTCAGGTTTGCCCCGAGGCCAGCTGCCCTGATCGGTGGTACGTAGACGAGATGAGGAGTCCATTTAGGTTCTTCATAATGATTATCAGTAAGTGAACCACATTGTTGTATTGGCTGCCGGACAATGCGTTACGATTTTTCTGTACGGCATTCAGTTCTCTCGTTCTTACGCAACTGATAACATGTTCTCCAGATCGTCTCCCAAGGCTCCCCCGCCACACGCGCAATTATAACGATAGTATAATGATACAATTCACTTGTCCGTCGAGATACACAGAAAAACGCGAAAACAAGGGGGATGTGCGAAGTACTACAAACAGCCAGCAAAACCACACGAAATAATTCAAATTCCGTACGATGATACATAATCCGGAGGGGACTGGTCCACCAATTCAGCCTCCAACACGGCTATTTTCTGGGTCATAACATCCACTTGGTGACGCAGCGCGACAACCGTCTCGTTTGCAGTCGTTTCTGACTGATGGCCATCGGCGCTACCCACGATCGTGCTGGTCGGAGGTCGTAATCTGTATTGCTTCAGTTGTTGTTCGAGCAGCTCCTTCTGACCAAGCATCTGTTCTCTCCGCTCTCTCATAGTCAAATGGGGGCTATCTGGTGGTATTGGTAAGGGCCTTCGTTCCGAAGGGTTCTTCGGTAACGCCGCTGACTGAGACGTCTGAACAGGGGGTGTTGATGGCTTGAGAGGACGGGTGATCGTGTATGGATCAACAAATGCAGTGGCTCCCATCTCTGTATAGAATGTGATCCCAAGGTGAGCGCGCCTTGTGTTGGCAATTGTAAAGAAAGGCGACGTACTTGGATATCCACTCCTCGACCTGCGCCGTCTTAGGAAGTCTAATATGACAACTACCAGGCCCGTAAGTCCGACTACACCTCCAACCATGCCTCCTGCAATGGCTCCTGGATCCGGCACAGATTTTGGGTTAGCATCGGGACGGTCTGGGATTTGGCCAGGAATGTGGGTCGTGCCATCTGGGGGGCTTTGAAAGTATGGATTGAGTCTTTGTGCGTGATACGGGGGAAGCGAGCATACGCGGCATCACTCACCTCAAGCTCCTCGTATCATTACTGATCTCAAAATTCTGACTGCTCGCTATGATCGAGTTACTTTCGAGTCGAGAATCGCGTGGAATTCGATAGCAATCAGGAAGTAATATTCACCCTCCACACTCCGAGGTATCGGCACCTTCGAAAACGACTGCGACTCTGTCGATGAATTCGACGTTGAGAACGTTACTTGCGTGGACCTTCCGTCCGACCCGACTAAGAACAGATGAGATGAGTTGTCGAGCCTTCCTGAGAGCTAGATGGTACATCCAACGACGCGGAAACCACCTGGATCGATGGATCCACCGCTCTCAGATGGGCCAGAGATGTTTCTAAACTCCAGGCCGATGCAGGCATGTATTCAGAAGAAGGACACATACAGGAGGAACAGAGTGTGAACGAGAGGGAATAGGACCATATTGCGAAGGAGCGGAAACCCGTGCATTGGTGAGGTTGCGTCCCGGGCCTGAGACCTGAGGCATCGGGACTTTGAGGTCAAATGCCGTGGAGTGGGACTAGTCCGAAGCTTCTCGAAGTGCTGGTTCTCACATATATGCCAGGAATCTTGATCAGTCTTACATCCTGCGGGCATCTTGAGGCATATCTTGATTGATATCGAACGTTTCGGACGTTGACGTTGGACTATGATGGAGTTGCCAATAAATCTTCGCTGACGTTTGGGTGTAGTAGAAAGTAGAGTCTTGTACGGTGAAATGTCAATCAAATGTTGAGTTCTTTGTCAATAAAACGTGAGCTGCAACGATTCAACCCCACATACCCACCTAGAGGTCAGCCTTGAATGAGCTATACCAGAGCCCCTCGACACAAGTCAGTTCTATAACTCGGAGGACCAAAAAACACACTGCCTCCCTACCGTTCCGAGCACCAGGCCAACTGATTTCGTTAAAACGTAGCAAAGTCTACTGGAGTCAGAACGGAGAAGAATCAGTTCGCTCCTCTATTACAAGATAATTCGATCCTCAATGGAACTTCAAAAATATACCTTAGAGTTCTTGCTGAACATTGAACGACGTTTTGGATGGCTTGTACGTTTTTTGGGGGGTTGCATAGCACGATTGACTCGTAAATACTTTCAACTCGTATTCGCCGGTATCCTACAAAGAAATGCGTAGTCTCGCTAGAAATACATCGGAGAATAATGTTCGTAGGTAGGCCCGAGGCCCGATCGCTGGCGGCCCGTGATGGTGATGAAATGAGAACAAGCGCCGTTTTGTCAATTATGACGGTCGCGCTAAGAGGCGCTGGTCCACCAACTCTAAAACCACCATCATCGCCTCCCTTCACCCATCCCATCAATTTTCTGTACAGGTTCATCTATGCTCTTCATGGATGATAAGGAAAAAAAACTACCTCTCGAGCTCTTTATCTTCATACTCAAACTATACGACCGGAAGACTCTCGTACGATGCTCACTAGTCTGCAAATCATGGGCATCCATCTGCCAGCCCCGAATTTTTGAAAACGTTGAATTCGCCACAGATTTAGGTAGCATAGAGTCATCTATTGACTTCATATCGATCCTCAAGAAATCAGAATGCGCTTCAGAACTCGTTCGCCACATATCCCTTACCAGCACAAAGGCGGATAGTTTCGACGGAGTTACCTCGCGTTTTCATGAGCTTCTGGACGCTCTCGGGGCTCTCGAGGGTCGCCTAGGACAGCTGGAAACTCTGAAACTCAGCTCTCACCCTTACTGTTTCCAACCCATGTTGTGCGATGAAAACACACAATTTCCGACCATCCCTCTCCTCGCCTCCACCTTTCCCCACATCGTTCACCTCCACCTCGATCTAGGTTACGAATACTCTTAAACTTTTGCCGCCTTTATATGCTCGTTTCCTCCATATCACGATATTATTAACACGCGAGGGTTGCCTCCTATCAACATGTGCTCTTCCACCCACCCTCGAATCAGTCCACCTCCAAAGGACCTATGACTCTCCACCCTTTCATCACTGACTTTCCAACCATCCTCCCCGTGATCTCAACCTTTTTTCCGTCGTGTGCTTTTTTGGATCTCTTGATGCGTACTTCAACGGCCTTTGTAAACACACCCAACCTACATTATGACTTGGTCACGAAAGGTACTGATAATATCCCATTCGTCAATGTCATGGTGAATTTTCTGACGTTCCTTGCTTACTATTTACACGTCTCGACACTCTCGCTCCTCTAACCTCTCTCCAACGAATCATCTTCACCTTTTATCGACTCGTCGTGGGCAATTCCTACTGCATCGGATATTGAACGCCATCGCAGAACTGTTCAAATCACTCGAACTCCTCAAAACTGTTACGTCCCCCACCTCCGCACAATAGTTTTCAATACCATCGACGAAGGACTCTCGGACCGGATCTCCAAGACGCGTGGAATCAACTCGACGATGTCGCATTTCACCAAGGGTTAACAGTTGAGATCGTCATTCCGTATTCCTCTGTTTGGGCTGGTTCTACAGGCGAGAGTGTTATCGACCTGTCGTTGGCACGGAACGCGTTCCCGAGGAGCGATCGTGAAGACCGATTATCCCTTGTCTGGACGCCCTTTAGGATTCACCGTGACTTGATGTCCTCGAAGGACGTGCCGTGGGGAGGTGATTGGCTGAAGATGATCCTGCAAGAGATGAAAAGTGTGTGCAATCGATATAAGGCATAGACGTGGAATGCTGCACGAACGCTGATGGTGCCCTATCTGATTGGGGAGTGAAGCTTTGAAGTTCTGGGGTGTGCAACCGCCACGGACTGAGCGGCCCTCTAAGCTAATGAACGCGAATAAACCCCATTCTTTTTCAGACCATTCGCCATCACCCCCAAACGGCCCTTCGTTTCACTTTGACTGTAATTTCAGCGCTCTTTTGTGCAAAGGCTAGATCGATACTCACCCCATCGTCTGCAAGTCGCGACCTTTTGTGGGTCGGCGGGAAGAGCTAATGATAGAACCAGAGAGGGCGGGACAAATCAGCGCCCGCAGCCCGCTCTGATTAGGCTTGTAATTGAGCTACCTACATGTCGTTGGGAACGCCAAAGCGGGATCTTTTGTTGTGTGAGGTATTTAGAGATCATGGTTGAATATGGCACCTTCCTTCTCATGGTTGGGAAGGCCAAGGATCTGGAGATAGGTCAGGGGCAACAGTGCTGGTAGTGAAGCAGTAGTGGGTCGACCAAGTACGGCGTTGCATCGGTATGGGTGTGGATGGCCTCTGGGAGGGAAATGGATGGAGGGTGTAGCCTTATATTGTATCATTATTGGCGCGGAAGGCCGCCCCGTGAAGGGTGTCTTGCCAAGAGTGTCTTCTTTTTGATCTAGTTCTGGGTTGTTCTGTAGGTCTCTTGGGTATCGCTGCCCTTGACGACCCATGCTACTTTGAACTGCCACATACTTAGACACAGCGGGAACTGTTCATATATGACTCGTTACCCGTATATGTAAATGAGTGTCTTCGTCGGGGGTTCCTCCTTCATCTCGGTGCTCTTGTCCTCCTAGACCAGCTGTTTGGTTCGGGATCCTTGATTCGCAGAGAAGATTGATCATAAAAAACAAGGCGAGCAGATCATTCCCTCTAGCCGACTTGAACGACTGACCTCTTCATATTTGGAACGTAGGATTCTATACTAGTGAAGCGCTCTACCACTGAGCTAAGAGGGAGTGTTAACGGGGTCAAACACATGGGTCATGATGGTCAATGATGTACAATGAAATGCCATTGCATCGCTAAGCCTATCGCCCCCTGAACCTAGGCTGCGTTCATTGAACATTGATTAATGACAAGCATACCGCCACGCTAGCAAGGAGTACCGCTCCCTTCCCCACTCCCACTTGACCACAAGCTCGTATATGGCTAAGTAAGAATCTAAGTGCTTGAATATGACCCGCTCATTTAGTGAGACCGATAAGACGTGACAAACTAGGCACATCTAGATTCGAGATCTACCGCAACTTCTCCCTCGACCGTCTGCCGAGAGTGGCGGGAGCCATCTACAGTAAGATCTTCCTCCGAGTCCTCACGCTTGATATTTGCACGGACAATCAGAAGCGTCGGAGCAATGCTCTAAACATAAAATCTTAGTGGTAAGCTAGCGAGGCAATAAGTATCGAACGCTACCTCAATCTGAACCAAACCCGATCCCAGAGTGACCATGCTGTGACTGTCATAGACTCCCAAAACGATGTACACAATCCACGCCACGACGTACAGCAGGCACAATTCGATTCTGAAACAAGTTTAGGATGGAAAAAGTGTGTATGAACGGTGGAAAACAACTGCTAACATAAGTCTTGCAATCATAGTGAACCTTCTCGGTGTGCTCTGGCCAAGCCTGCGGCGTGTATCTGGCCACAAGATACTTTGTGCTGTTGAGAGTAGGCGTTAGCCTGATCTTCAGCTTTGGTGATCCCGGTAACTCACCGATGATAAGACTCAGAAGTAGATTGATGAAGAGGTGTGCGCAGACACAAGCCACACCAAGGTTCTTCAGAATCGGCACCTCGGAAGGCAGGGGCTTCAACGGGTCGGCATATGAAGAGACTGACATCTTCAGGCCCCAAATACCAGACATCACCGCCGAAACTGTACGTAGATATTCGGACAATCTTTTCGTTTCTTTGAAGGAAAAAAATCTCACCATGAAGGATAGAACAAAGGATGAGCAATAATATAGGATATCTTTTTTTGCGCCACCCACAGATGACGAAGCAACGAAAGATCTATGGTGAGACTCGGTGATATAAGTGGCTTGGCCCGCAGATTTTCGGTCGGGTCTCACCAAGATAATGTCAACGAGGAAGCTGCCCATCGAGAGTCATTAAATTTGCTGGGAAGATAAGGGAACGCGTAATAGCCTACCTCATGCTGAAAGTGATCACAGTACGAAATGCCCTGGACGCGACACAGGAAGTTGCTGAAGTGAGAGATGATGGGAATCAACTGCTAGGAAGCTCACTCTAGGTTCGATTGAGTAACGAGGACTTGGGATTCACATCCGAGTCCCGCAATGACACAGAATGTGGCTCTGGTGGCGAGGATGTCCCGCGTCAAACTTAGCGGAACGCTCAATGATGACAATCCAAAGAGACCAACAAGCGAGAGGAGGAATAGTCGATGGCCAGCGCATCCCCCACGTCGCCGGTGCTTCAAGACCGCTAGACCGACTCGAAAAAGCATCACATTCAAACCGTACAGCCATAAATGGACCTAATAACGATCAAAAAAATGCGAAGGGCCGGCCCTTGTTGTTGTACACTCACCGAGGAGACAACCAATGGGAGCAAAATGCCGTTTTTGTATTGGTCTTCAGTAATATACCTGCCGCGTGTAGCACTGCGTGCCAATGACATGATGGGTGGGTTGGGTGGTTGGACCTGGAGGTGAGTAACAGACTGTCCCTTAAGTGCCCCCAACAATGTGCGGCGATGGCTTCCCAAGTATCCATGATGGCATGATGATCACGGTACAGGATTTTCGCAACGTCGATGGCGGTTTCTACAGCCCTCCTGTATATACTATGTACGGAATAGAAATCCCGTACCTGCAGCAATGTCGAAATTATAGAGGTCAGAAATGTGCAATGATATGTTTATTTGATACGAATAAAAATGGGCACATACCGACTCGTAAAGGCGAGAACGTCTACAAATCTTGACTCAGACGTGAGTCCGGGTTCAGCAGCTGGCGTAGCCACTGGAGGCACTGTTAGAGGCAGTATCGGTGGTGGAAGCGGAAAAGGGCTTGAAGGACGAAGGCAAGAATGGTATCAAGACGTCAGCACTGCTTTCTTCTTTCACAGTCCCGGTGCCAAGAGAGCGCAGGGGTGAACTTCCCCGGCGAGACGCCACTATCACTATACGGACCCAGCACAAATAGACTAGCAGAGAACTTCCTAGTTCGCCAACCTCAATCACATCCATTTTCCATTGCCGGCTCTGGGAAGGGTACGGATCGAATCTCAAAAAGTTGATAATCGAAAGTTCAGAGCCTACTAGCGTAGATATCGCGTTCGGGAGGTTTGATCGGAGGGAGAACGGTGGGTGGAGAGTAACAGAAGGAAGTTAACACACTAACAAATCGGACGGAAAGATACAGCTTGAAGTCCACTCGGATACTAGATGGTGGTTTGGTTCCATTCCGGCCCAGGACCCTCCGACCGGAGATTTTGCGACTCCCTCGAGAAAAGTATGAGCAAAACTTATTTCCGTGACGGGAATCAAGCCCCAGGCTATCGCAACTCAAGACGGTGGGGGGACACTGTCTTACGAGAGAAAATATGGTTGGCCTTCACCACCACCGTATTCCTACAGACGGAGATCAAGTAAATTCTCATTCTCCCCCTAACTTTGACACAGATCGAGCATGCACAGGACGGGATCGTGTCTGACCTCCTTACAGATATCTGATAGCTTTCGTTCTCGTTACCCCTACATTTACCACCTGCCACTCCACCGATACACGCCCATCGTTCACGCAGGAATCCTGAAATGGGGGCTGCCGTCCCCAGAGTCACCGAACACTAGCACGACACCATCAATCAACCAAAACGAGATCGGTAGTCTCCAAGTAAAACAACCACTCACAAGCGATCGAATAGTCGTCTCCAGCAGGAATCTTCGGGACAGTAACCTTAGGTGAGCCATCGAGCAGGCTGAAGCTGTTGAACTCCTTTAGGAATCCCTCTGACGAAAAACAAAAGATGTTGAGAGTGTCAAAACGACAGAGCACGGAATAACCAACCGCTGGCAGTCTTATCAAGGTAATAGCAGCGGCGTCCGAAATAACTACTGGGGCATCAGAGGTATCCCTACGTCCGAGACAGATCAATTCATTGCGCTGTTCAGTGGCCATCTTCCCGAGGCGCGACGTACCAGATAACGGTGACAGTAGGCCCTGCAGCCCACACGGTGTCGGCATCTAGCGAGATGATCCTTGGGCTCCATACATCGAACATGGTCCTCTTCGCTACAGGCAAAGCGTTGACAGCGGTCGCGGCAATGGCAGCGAGGATGGCGGTCGTAACTTTAAATTGCATCGTTCGTTCGTGTCTGGAGTAGTCCGAGAGGTTGAAAAGACCTGGAGGATGCAGATTACGGTCGATTTTCCTTATCATTATACTCCCAGGACGTAGGCAAAAGTTTTACGTCGTGCGACCGTCCGACAACAGCATGGGATTTGAGTTGTCACGTCCTCCATCTGATCTAAGCCGGGATGACAAATCTGTAGCGTGTGGCTGAATGCAAGATACCGGGGATAAGGATAGGAATATTCTTCGTGAATCGTGTAAGGTGTAGCGAAGTTAGCAAGAATGTTGTTGAAGTCGATCACCGTATCGAAACTTCTGAATGAGGATCCCAGGGCCTATTATTACATCCCATCGGAGAGAAGAGGCCATCAGAGTACTGATTCTGCACCTCGGCTTCGGGAGAAACGGAAAAACATCGAGAATCGTGAGGTAGAAGTCATACAACGGAGTCACCTGGCTCTGAATGTGAGTACCCATTGGCTGAATATACCATTATTGTCGTACCAACTATGTGTATGGCTCGCCCTCAGGTTGGGTACAATGTCTCTGAAGACGCAAAGGGGTAAACACAACCGGTCTCGCACCAACCAGGCCATCATAGAGACGCTGCTCCCTCGAAAGAGTGCAACGAGATGCTGACTTCGTCGGTGTCCGAATGACAACCGCTCCCTTGACCTGAATCCTACCGTGGTATGTGGTCGTATGATGGTCGGCCATCCGTACTTTTCTTTTTGAAGCCCATAGCCCCAAAATCACATAGGACTTGGAAAAGCTGTCCTAGCAAGAACGTTGGAGTAGTTTTACTTTGATTTGAGGTCATCAAACGACGAGAAACCCGACTTACTATGCGACGGGCCTAATTGCATCCTCTCGCCACAGCGGTTTCACTGACTCGATCGGAAGACATGCTAGGCGTAAGGCTTGAATAGTGGAGTGAAGCACAGCAAGGAGAATCGTTCCTGCACCGATTAGTTTGGACAAAGGAATTGCTCCACGGGCGCGCTACGAGTCGTATTCATCGAATGAACGCTCACCCTGAGTTTCTGTGGACCGCCAAGGGGAGCTCCACAAGTCGAAACCGCAACGCCCGACGCTTCGTAAGTTCGAATTGACTGATCCATCGAGAGTCTCCGATGTAACATAGCTATAGTCGAGAGCCTGAAACCATTCGAGGTATAAAAGAGGTCGAACGAAGGCAGAAAGTCGATATCAAACTACCTCATCCATACCTGTAAACGACGACACGACAACCACGATGCGTTTCTCTATCCTCGTTCTCGCACAAGCTATCCTTGCCACATCCGTCCTCGGTGGTATGTTCTACCACGCTTCGCTCCCTCGGTGTAACCTATCAAAATCTGACCCTTCGTTTAGGTGGTGTCATGGTCTGCACAAACAACAAAGATGGTGGCGGAGGTACCAACTACCAAGTGACGAAGGACTGCTGTGCCGCCGTGAACCACAAGGCGTTCTTCAACGAGCTGTTCAAATATTGCTCTCCCAACTCTGGGCCTCCAGGAAACAGCGTTGACACCGGTGCCATGGTCAAATGCTGCAGCAGTCGTGGAGCTGGAAGTCATTCCGATCGTCCTTGAGGTAAGCCTTTCTTCCGCGACGAAAGGAACCAGGCTGACA